TCGCATAATTTCGCATAAATGACCTCGCAGAGCAGGCAGATTTTAAGGTTTGTCACCGCAGATTTTCGGTATCCCTATCCCTGACTGTAATGGAGATGTAGATCACTCCAAAAGGAAATCACAACAAAAAACGCGTACGTACTGTACGCAGTGTTTATTTTTCACGTACCCGCACCTGTGCACATGCGCACACTGCGAAAAATAACACTGCGCGTACGTACGTACGTACCAACAGGAGGCACACGAACATTAACAATAAAATACTAAAATAAGTCAATAGTAATAATTTATAAACATACAATGTCTTATAAATTTTAGGACAAATTAAAAATTACTTTTTTCAAAATTTCTTCGTTTTCGTCTTATAAATAAATCTCTGGGAATTACATCGCTGTTTCCGGACTGAAGTCCTGAAGAGTTAGGTAATTCTTAAAACAAACATTTAGTCTACCCAGAATTTATGATAATTATTCGACCGAATTTGATTCGGCGTTATCAATATTTATATTTGATATTTTAAAAATATTCATCGAGGTATAATTAAAATAAAATTTACCAGTTCAAGTAATAACTAAATATATACTTACCTTTTAACAGAAGTAATTTCATGTATTTAAAATTTTTAGAAAGATACGTTCATTACTGAAGTCTAATTTATATTCGAATTTTTTTTTTACATTTAGGTAAAAATTGCCGGGTAACAAGAACATTCTCTGCCATAAATTTCCGTACAAACCAAGTAAATTGAGCTATCTCAATGTATAGTTTTAGTTCCAATAATAAGTGGATTTATAAGTGTTTGTTCACTTAATAATAAAAAACAATGGACGATGAAGGATTTACTATTATGGCTTTAATTATTTCAAAGAAAGAGATAAGTGATACTAGGTCAAGATTTATTAAGAGAACCTACAAGTATTTATAATATCTCCTTTGCAATAATATTATGCGTTTATATACAGTTAACTTTTATCTGGAAACAGCTGTAATATAGTTCGGTGATCTAGAAAGAACAATATCGCACGTATAGAAAAGACAAAAATTAAACTACACAGTTTCTATTGCTATATGCACGTTTTTCACTAGTCAGTATATGAAATGTCGAAGGCTTTAAGCAGGCTTTTGGATGAATTGACATTATAATGCAAGAAATATATTGTTGTCTAAAATAAATTGAACTGTTTAATCGTATGTGATCGAAATTAAGAATTGATTTTATTAAAGTATTACTCAAATTATTATAAAAAATCGTCATTAAAATACCTTCAACACGAATATCTTGTTTTAATTCGGCTAAAGATTTTAAATAATCATTTAGAATCAGAAAGAAGGGTCATACGATCATGATCCTTATGACATCATTTTATGTATATTTAAAGTTATCTTTATAAATTCTGGAACATCAGCGGAATGATCATGTGGGCTGCCTTAATTTTCACAGCTCATTTCATTTGATGGATTTTGAGGCTATCTTAATGATTTAATAGTAAAAAAAAAGCTTACGACCTAAGCTTTTTTTTTAATATTAAATCATCAAGATATGAGCTGTGAAAATTAAGGTATTCATTTTTTTTAAAATATTAATCTGCCTTATTTCTATTGACAGCAGCCCATGTATTAAAGTTTCAGTTGTCCAAAATTTATGGAAACAGTCGCAAAGCCTTATGAAACTTTATATAAAATCAATGAGATTAATATTCCCAAATTTCAACTTTCGGTAATATAGCTTTGGTAACCGTAATTCTTTTCCTTTTAACTGTTTATCAATCGAAATAAGATAATCACCTAACGTCGTCAGAAACAACCATCTGTTAAGAATATAGTTCTTCAATCTCAATCCAGTCAGTTTAACTCACACAATGCCCCAAAAGATTTTCCATAGCATCGAAACCTTATTAATTTTTGTTTTCACTGTAGCCAGCTGGACTGGCATGAGTCGGCAGCTTGACCCTACCCTCACCAAGTATAGTACAACCGTAAAAGCAGCACCAGTATCAATTACTGTATTGGCCGAAAATTGCGATTAAAGTCGTCTTATTCTGTATTGGCCATAGTTGCTGTAATATTGTGATTAGTGCACCTAATATTTTGGCAGACGATGAGAATTATGAATAACCAATTAGAATTCGGGATTTTATTAACACCCAGACATCAAGTTTATTATTACAGTGTTAGGGTCTTTCACATTAACAATTTTTTTATTTTAGGATAATCCAAAAATCAACTTTAGTATGAAGTAAGCATTTGATCATATGAATGTGCACATACTTTTCAAACTGAATTTTTTGCAGTTATTAAAGGACCTTATTATTAATGATGCAAATTGGTGTTTTTCAAATTCATCACTACTTATGATTTTAACGTGCTAGTATACAACTTTTTCTAAGTTCACATCTAGTTATATTAATTAGGGATAGCCGCTCATTTCACAGGTCGAATGATGGCAAATCGGGTACAAATCGGATACCCGATTTCTCGACGGTCGTTTCCCTACAGACCATTTATCCGACATAACATAGGGTTAGGATTAGCATTTTGATTATTACAGGTATATATTATTATTGAATTGTCACCCTCTCTGATGTCGGGTAAATGGCCTGTATAAGAAATAACCGAAATGGGACGTAATTATAATAAAGTATTCTACGAAATATGAAAATTATGAAAAAGCTTGTACATAATTAACAATTGATTGTAAAATATATAAAATAACCAAAATAGCTCATCTAAAAATCTAAGGAATTAAAATTAAATAATTATTTATTATTTAAAATGGAAGTTCCTATGAATAAGATTCCAACATTTTAATTATTGGAGCTGGTATAGGTGGACTTAGTTTTTATCACTCTGTTCGAAAAAATCTTGGTAAAAAATTTAATGTTAAAATTTTTGATTGTGAAATTGGTCCTCAAGGTTCATTTTTCAATGTTAACAATGCTAATAAATTATTTCTTAAAAAAAATAAAAGTAAAGTGTTTACTATTCGTTGACACTTAATTAATTTATTTTGTCATTTTTGTTAAAATAGATCGATGGCAAGGGTACAATAGAAAAAGTGTTACCTCTTTATTCTATTGCACACCACCTGAAGTTCAAGTTCGTTTTCCAGAAGCAATGCCAGATCCAATCCCTCAGGAACATCAATCTACAGCAATTATTGATCATGTCGGGAGACATCTTATTTATGCATCACAACAAAAAACTAAAAACGTCTATGAAATTGAAACTCTTAAACATAATTTGCTGGTATAGTTGCATATCGTAATAAATTAAGAGATGTTTTATTGGAAGGTTTTGATATCCAGTGGGTAAAAAAAAAGAAAGTGATGATGGAGTTTGGGCATTGTTCGAAGATGGGACAAGAGAACTTGGTGATTTATTAATTCACCAAGTATGTTTTATCCACCACTTCTTATCATAAATTGTTCATTGATCTAATAAACTTTATTACTATTTTATTGTAGTTCGAAAACAAAAGGTTCCTAACTTAGAAATCCTCAACCTTGGTGTAACTAGTATCGACGTAGATATCGCAGTACCCAAAAAGTTTGGCAGAACGATTGATGTCTGTTTTCTCAGATGCAGTGGTACAAGTATCTCTTGGTCGAAATGGTGACACATTTTTTTCAATGATGCACTTTATACCAATCGATCAATCTTGCGAACAAACTTATAGGGTTGCCCTTAGATATAGTTATCCGACAAACCTTGATATTAAAGATAATATATCAAACATACAATTTCAAGAATTAAACAATTACGTCTATCTTATGAATTAACCGATTTAATTATTGAGTTATTTTCGATGGTCATATTCTCTCACCCAGGTGAAAAGTATCCATTTCGAACGTATAATCCTCCACGACGTCGTCAACTTTGTGATATTAATCCCCACTATAAATCATTTTGTTAGGTGATTCTGCTCATGCTATGAATCCAGTTTTAGCATTAGGTTGTGTTTATTTAAAAATGTCTATAAAAAAAAAAAAATTTTAATCAGTATATACTTATTTTCATACATTTTTTTAAGGTGCAAATAATGCAATACAAAATGCCAATCTGTTGACCAAAGAATTACTTTATTATGAGAAAGATAATTTAATCGCGTGCATTCAACGATATAACAAAAAAATGAGAGCTAGATCATCAAAGGATGTTATGAAGTCACGTAACTTTGTACTAAGAGAACGAAATCAGTTTGGAAATTTGGGTCTAATTGCTAGATATTCTATTTATAGAGTTATTAATGTTCTTTTTTATGCTTTTGTATTTATTAAAATTCATGTTTAATTTTATAAAAGTTTAAATTCTATTTACAACTTGTATCATTTATTATATTACTTACGGTACTATAAAATTATTACACATACTGCAAAATTCAAATATAATAAGTTACAATAATAACAAATTACTTATACGGAATTTTTAAATTTAAATTACTTAAAAGATTTTTTTATTTACTAATTAATTCTTACAATTTTACCACTATTAAAATTATAATAACTTTACATCTTTAATTATCGCAGTTTTCGAAATAGTTGAAAGTAGTAAAAAATTTTTTTTGCGAATACTTGATTAGTTTAGAACATTGATAAAAAAATTTTTTTGTAAATATTACCATTTTGAACCATTTCGTAAACGGCGATAAAGCTTAATAAAAAATATTTTTTATTATAATTACTTCCTTCTCCTTACGTTCGATTAGTTCATTAATTTCGGTTTTGGTAAACTCGTCTTGCCTAATTTGCAGATTACCAATTTAGATATTTCTAAATATAACCTTAACTTTAATCTAATTAAATACCTAATTCTCATAAATATAATTTTCTTTCTCTAAATACAAGCTATTAAAAACCCGCGTGCCTATGAGTCGCTTGATAGCAGTATTTGTGATCTTTTTATGATCGTGTTTTGTGAACTTGTTTTGCTGTTTTTAATTCCATTAATGTTTATCCCTTAACGTTAAACCGTCCCGTTTTAGCGGGCAAATTTGCCCGCTAAAATTATTAAAAAAAAATTCGAAGGGTAAAAAAAAATTTTATGTGAATCTTTACTAAAATAGGCTAGAATAACGCCCGAAGGCTCGGATGACATGGTTAAACTAAAAAATCTGAACATGGCACATGTTATGTAACAACAACAAATGACACAAGTTCGGGTCGCACGAAACATGAGGATCGATTATCACTAATTTTTTTTTGTAATCAAAATTTTTGGGTCTTCCAGGCCGATTTAAGTACTACATGCTTAAGCGAAATCGATGATGCAGTCATGATCTTTAAATTTTG